GGTGGTCTCGGAATGTGTTACGTGGAAAGCAGTGTTTGGGCTCATTCCTCTTTCAGACTTGTCCTCGAACCTTCCTCACCCCATGCTAGCAGTGTCCTACTCCTTTTGACTCAGGATACAGCTCTTGGAAGTAATGATGTCCTTCACCTCCCCCACCTTTCATTACTGTCTGTGTCCTGCTGGCAGCCACACTTGGCATTTGACTTGCCCTCATAACATTCATGTTTTTCTTGGAGCTCTCAGAGATAGTTTTTTTCCCAGCCTGGATGAGTTTCTGTTGTTTCTATAGAGTCAGCAGTACAATAGACCCTCTTGGGAGCCAAGACCTTGCCTGTCTAGTGGCTCAGGCTCACAAAGACTCAATCCTCCATGCTTAACATTACCCTTTGGTTTCCGGGATTAGTGTCTGAGTGATGGCAGGTAAGAAGGCAGAACAGCAGCACAAAAGAAATCAATTAAGTTTACATTGCAACATGTACTCACTCGGGGCCAGGTTAGAGAAACAGGAATTGGGTAGAGGACATTGTTGGCACTAGAACCAGTGAGCAGACAGCAGTGTGTCTGTCATGTAAGTGGCAACGACAGCGGAAAGGATCTTTCCTCTAATGCTTTCTTAATACGTATACTATCCCTGGTTAACATATGTCATGACATAGCAGTTAATATCTCCATGCTATGGTTTTCTTATTTCTTAAAGTTGGCTTAAAAGTTCTCAATCTTTCTCAGCAGAGTGGGTAAAACCCGAGCTAAGGCGTATTAGTCACATTTTTATCAAGAGATGAAAGTGATAGAGATATAAAGTACTACCAGCTTTTAATTAAAATTGAATGAGTAAAAAACCAGTTGGCAGTTGCAAAATTCATTTTAATGTGTTACCAAAAATAGATACCTTTATGAGAATGCAGTTTTGTTACAACAGTGGGTACTAATCAGCTGTAAACATCACTGCTGAGATAGCCAGATAGAAAATGAGTTACTAATACTCATAACAGGTTTCAATTGGCTGGAATGGAAAACTAGAAACTGTTAAGGCTCTTAAAATATAATCTCTCAGACTACCAAAATAGATACATGTACTTCTGTTACTTAAGGCAACATCTGAATTTCAGGCACAATAGCTTAATGTTTTCTGCATCTGGATTTAATTTGCAAGGAAAACTCAATTTCACAAAAATGCAACCTGACTTAGCTGAAATATGTATGACCTGGTGGTTTTATTTGTTCTTTCTATAGAACAGAATGGTGAGACTTGCAACTTAGATCCTCCAACCTTCTATACATTTCATATCGTAAAAATATTCCCTTTGACCTTAATAAAACCAGCTTCCAGTATGAGCTTACAGTCATTGATCTACAGTTTAGAGCATGTTACTGACCAGTTCAGGAGGCATGTGTGCCTTGCATTAGGCTGCAAAATCTACTGTAATTGAAAAAAGTTATTTTCCTCTCTCCTGCTGTAATCTGGATCATCAAGCAATAACAACAAATCTGTGGGTGGTTTATCTGATTTATGCTCATTTGCTATTGACATGTTTGAGGTATCACTTGCATCATCCCACTCTTATATATTTATTATTTAAAATACTAGCTGTTTATGAAAAGGAAATCTTTTCAATAATTATTCATTTTTGCTGTGATAACCTCTTGAAATCATGGCCTGCTCTGGTAGACTGTATACAAAACCATTGCAAATGAGGTGTAATCTGAAGCGTTTAAGATAAGCTTGCAGCAAGAGGATGATTTGAATCCAGGAAGATTAATATATCCCACCTACAAGGATCTCAACTCATGGAATTTCAGCCATTAAATGTGAGGCATCTAAGTCACCTCCAAAGCCAGTACAAGAAAGAAGTAAACCCAGCCTGTGATTTAGCTCACATAATTTAGAGCTCTGAGGCCTCCAGGGGAGACTCAAGCAGCAGTAACGAAGCTTGAGCTCGTGCTTTCAAACTTGGATGCGTCAGTGTAGCCTCCTAAATCCTTGTGTTGATACCTAAGTAAGCACACACAGAAGTGATGAGTGAAGTGGTGACTCCTTAGCAAAGTCAGAAGGTGCTGTGCAATGTGAACACTCCTTGAACACTTCCAGTATTTTCTAAGGAAAAGGCATTATTTTTGAAAGCCCATTTAAGTGTAATGAATGTGAAATAACCAGAGCTTTTAGGGCAGAATCGCATGCCAAGAATCACAGACTGGTTTGGGTTGGAAAGGATCTTAAAGATCACCCAGTTCCAACCCCCTGCCATGGGCAGGGACACCTTGTACTAGAACAGGTTGCTCCAAGCCCCATCCAGCCGGGCCTTGCACACTTCCAGAAGAGGCCACTTACATGTCTGTGCTTTAAAAGTAAAATCACAGGCAGAAGTCCCACATTTTAAAACTGAATCCCCCTTCCTTGGCATCCTCATATTGAGAGAACGATAAAATCATCCTTTGTAAACAGTCACCTGTCTTAGATCTTGCTTGTACTGCTGCATTCTAAGTTCATTGACTGATTTACTGTGAGGGTGGTAAGGCACTGGCACAGGTTGCCTAAGGAAGCTGTGAATGCTCCATCCCTGGCAGTGTTCAAGGCCAGGTTGAACAGAGCCTTGAGTGACATGGTTTAGCGTGAGGTGTCCCTGCCCATGGCAGGGGGTTTGGAACTCGATGATCTTAAGGCCCTTTCCAACCCTAACTATTCTATGATTCTATGATGTGATGCCCTGCTACACTGGAACTACACACCAAGTTCATGAGTTGAAACACAGTACATCAAAAAATGTGAGTTTCCAAATGTTTTCAGCAGGAAAGATTAGCGCTGCTAAATCTGTCAAAATTGGCCGATACATTAATTTAAGGGTTCTGAATCTCTTGGTCTTTGTTGGAAAAAGAGTCAGTATGGTATTTAAATAAAGCATCCCATGCCAAATTTGCAATATTGTTTAAGCCTTGCTGTCTCAGTGGGATTTCACCCATTGTATTTGAAAAGCTTCATTAAAAAAGTCTCCCAACACTCCCCCCCCACCCCAAGTTGTATTTTGTTCAAAATACTGTGTGTTTGTGATAGAATAAACTTTATAGAGGAGCAATCTAAGAATAATACATGGTAGGTTTTCTTTTCTGAAAACTGGTAACTGGTACAAGTTTTTCTCTAAAGTCTATCCCACTGCAGTTTCGGTATTTACAATTAAATTCTGCCCACTTTTTCCTTCTGATTTGCAAGTGTTTACTTTTGTTTGGGGTCAGTATCTGATATAGGAATGTTAATATTCAATGGAGGTTGAAGGCTTAAAATTGTTATTGTTGTTGGACGTTTGAGCTCCTTTCCCCCTTCATCCACACCCTCACTGATTGAATGAGGTCTCAGTGACAAAAACAGAAATACCCTTGATGCTTGCCTAAGTATTGTAGGAGTACCTGGTGGGTCAGAAATGTTCCTGAATGATGGGAAAACTGTTGGTATATTGGAATAGAGAGAAGGACAAGCTCTGTTGAGGAGGAGGAAGAAGAAATATGCAAATAAAACCGGCATCCCAAGAGGTGCTGTGGTGGAGCGATGGCTGCAATACCCATGCCAAGAGCACCTCAGCCAGAGCTGTGCTGGCTCACATGGCAGTGTGCTCAGTCCAGACTGGGTGTGAGAGGTTGTGATTGCTCCAAGAGTGATGTCTGCTGTTATCCGGAAGGTGATGGTATTATAGAGGTATGCATGACTGACCCCAAGTTAGGAAACACTGGTCCTTAATAGATGTGGAAGACCAAATACCAGGGATGCAAAGGTGCAAAGATCGGCTGATAGGGTGCAACAGCAGCAAAGGCAACCAAGGCTGAGACTTTGAGAAAGCCAGTCATGAAGTAGCTCTAAACCCTCTGCTTCCACTTGTGTTTCTCACCGCCTCCTTGGCAATGCAGGGCACTGAAGAGTTCATCCTCTGTGAACCCTGTGTTGCTGCATTGCAGGCTAGCTTGTGCAACTGGAGAGAAAAATGTTCTCTTCAGCTTGGGACACCTTGAGGACTGCACCCCAGGGCACTGCAGCAAAAACATTGCAGAACTACCCCAAAGGAATGGAAAGTTATGGCAGGTGTTACGTTTGCTGTTATTACCAGATAAGATTTGGAGATAAACAAATGCATTCAAGTAAAAGCCTAGATTCACAATAACAGGGCAAAGTTAGGAAAAGATAAATTAACATGTATACATGTATTAAGGTTAGACTCCTCTTTAGCTACTTCCGTATCTCAGCTTTTGACTCCTGCTAGTTTCTGCATTGAGCCCTTGGCCGGTGTGCCCCTGGGTATGCAGACCTGCTTATACCTTGTCTTCTGGTAAAGGTGGGGAGCTGCATCTTCTCTAGCTCAAGGTGGATTTCTTCTTCTTTGTGTGCCCCTCATTCCCTGGCATTGGGCCATCAGGTCTTTTGGGAGATTTCAGTATTTCATTCTGCCCCCTTCCTTAAGGTTACTTCAATAACAGTTCTTTTGGCCGTCTCAAGTAATGCTTTCTTTGCTTTCGTTTTTCACTAATTATAGTCTTGTTAAAATACAGCAGCATCACTTTACAAAAGATGTATTATGATAAATAGCATTAACTCCTTTCAAAGTATGTGCTGTGCATACAGGCTGTATGTTGTTAGATTTTGGGGCCTCATCTGCATGTTACTGGGTTTTGGTGAACTTCAACAGGGAATACTGAAGGTTTTGATATATTCAGGCCAGCCTGCTTTCCTTCCCAGGCCTCCTTTCTAGCATTGGCTATAAATAGACACACACACACACACACACACACACAAAGGTGGTTACCATTTAAAACTCCACATTTTCTAACAGAGACTGTAGCACAGTACTTTTTGCAGTATCTTGTTCAGGAAGTGGTACAGAAATATGTTGTAGCATCTTAGGTATATATATAGATAGATAGATGTAATGCTTGGCAAATGCTGGATTTTGATTGCTTATTTTAAGTATTGGCTATCTATATTAAATATTAAGTGAAAATTGTCTTGTTTCCCATTATAGTTTGCCATAAATCAGGTAATGGTGAAGAGGCCATTGAACAAATCGATGAAGATATAGCTGTGACTCAGAGTCAGATGAACTTCATTTGTCCCATTACACAGGTATGCTGTCACTGTATAATCAATTGGGAAATAGTTATTTCATATTCTTCATTGATGTTTTATTACAAATCTGCAATACTTGTTAAAATCAGGCAGTATCAATTACAAGCACTATAAGAGAAGAGCAACATCGCCTGGGAAAAGCCCTGTGTAAGTAGGGATGCAGTCAGCCACGCAGGACCTGACCCTGTAATTTGAGTGGAACGCTGTGTATGAATGGCAAACACACTTCCTGCTGTTTTACATAAAATCTCATAGGAAGCATTTTCATGGGCATTATCCATTCCTTTAAATGAACCTTTATCGATTACAGATGGAAATGAAGAGGCCAGTCCGAAACAAGATCTGTGGACACACTTATGAAGAAGACGCCATTCTAAAGTTTATCCAGAATCGAAAGCAGCAAAAGAAGAAAGTCCGGTAAGCAAACAGGAATGTGTGGAAAAGCTATTTGCTCTGCTGTGTAAGTGGAATTTTATTCCACTTGTTCTAGGAAATGTATTTGGATTGGCAAGGCTGCAGGAAGTAATACCTCAGCGTCTGCCCAAGTCACAGTCTCCTCATTAGCACTGCACACGTGAAGAAGCTTTTCTTTTTAATGAAAACAATGTGTAAGGAAATATTCAGGAAGTGTGTGAGGAAGTTACAGCCACTCATAGTACCTGCACAACAGAAGTAAAGAGCTTTTGTAGAGCCATGACCAACAAAGAGAAACATCAGCTTCCTAAAGCGTAGTTGCTCATTCTGTTTCCACTGCTTATTTAGCAAGCCCTGAAGTTAATGAAAGTTAAAAGTCTTCTCTGTCCACCTCCTCTTGTAGTTATATTCCAATAAAACTGAGAAATATTAAAACAATCAAATGAGTGTTCCAAGTGAGAAATATTAAACTACAACTTTTTAGGTAGTAGAGTCTTAAGAATTATCAGACAGGATTTTGCAGTTCCTGCTCTGATGCAGTTAAGTATTTCGTAACTATATCACCAAAGCAGGCCTCCACTTTCCACTCAGGATGTATTTTTTTGAATGAAAAGATGGTAACAGTTGAATTTCTGAGATTCTCCCTGGTAAGTTTCAAATTTAGGATAGTTTTTATTAAGAAAAAAGAAAAGGGACTCCTTTTAGACACCTTTGAGAGCAAGTTGAGAGGACACAGCACTTCATCCTTAATTTTGCATTTGTTTTTACACCATATGTGCAAGAGCCTCATGCTTTGGGGTTGATGACCTCATGGAAACTTACCACTTCTGGCCTTTTTAATGAGTGTGCAGTTTTCACATGCTCAGGAAGGACTGTCAGAGACCAGCAACCTGATAATGCCACGGGCGGCTCACTTCCTCCATCTGTTGCTCTTGCATATCTGTTAGACTCTATGTACTCTGCCTTGGGGGATACAAAGGTGGAGCAGAACTTCTTATTCCATGCTTCTTCCTGGCTACAGGAAAGTACAGTTGTGAAATCGAGCATCAGCTGGGATGTTTCACCACTATCTTAGTGTCAAGACAGCTGGAGGAGCAAGATGGAAGGAAGTACCTTGTCTTTGTTATGAGGTCTAGGGAGAAGAAGTGAAGTGGGTGCAACATGCTGGGAATGACAACAAGACCAGCAACATGGACGGACAGAAACTTGGCTGGAAAGATGAACGGGAGTTGGGAAATAGCTCATAAGCTGGAGAGAAGAAAGTGTTGTGAAGGATAGGGACAGGCTTGAAAGCATGTTCTCAAAGACACAACAAAGATAGCTTGTGCAATACGGAACAGAATTTAGGATGTTCATATCTAACTATTTCCCTGTGTTGTTAAATCCATCAGGAAAATGCCATGGTAGTAGGGATTGTTGCAGTGCATCAAAAGTTTCAGCACTGCTGAAAAACTAATAGGCCACATGATTGATTGAATTCCATCTTACCTTTTAGGAAACTAAAGACTTGACTTAGTGAAAGCCTAGAGTAAAAGAAAAAGCATGTAAGCTGTACAACACCTGGCTTTAAAAGCTACTGTATACCCAAACTGAAGTTATTTGTGCAGTCTATATACTAGCAGTTCTTAGTTGCAAGCTTTTGCCTTGTAACCTCACCATCTTTCCAGCAGTTAGCCCAGTATGGTAGAAAAGCACACACAGAACCGTAACTTGGCTTCTCTGTTACTAGATTAAGAAAGACTACCTGGTTTCTTTGCCCAGTTTCACTGACCTGCTGTAATTCTACCCTTTCTCACGAAGATGCAGTCAGTTTTGACAAACCATAGTCTGCTGTGGTGGGAAGAGAGGCCAGCTGATGCAACAAATTCCCCATTTGAGTACCCCATTGCGGGGTGTTGCTACTTGACTACACTCCCACCAGCAATATTCAGCGGGAAGCAGGTGCCCTGATAGAGCAGAGACTTAATCTGGGGGATCCTCTCTATCCTGGCTCTGAAATCAAAGCTTCTGCTCACTCTGCAGTTACAGGAGTGGCTGTTTCCTCACACGTACTTTCCTGTTTGAAGCCATGGGATCCCTTTGGTGCACTTGGCAGTGCACTAGCTCAGTGTCAGCTCTTCGGCTGACGTATGCACAGGCACCGGTTTTGTGCTGATAGACTGATCATAGGCTCCTCCAGGCAACTGTTACGTGTCTCCGTTTGCTCACTGTTTTCCACTGCCTGGAAGGACGTACTAATACTTTATGCTTACAGGAAATGTGGGAAGCCTTCTGAGCACTTGTTATTCATTAATCTGGCAAACCATTGCTCTTATAAGGTGATAAATGGGAAAACTAAGGCACAGAGCAATTAAGTGACTTATCCATGACAAACACAGTAAGTTGTGGACAAATCTGGAGTAAAAGCTATGAGTAGTGAGTGTAAATAAGTTCAGCACCTCAGAAAAAATTTACTCCTAATAGAGGAAAACTCAGAAGAAGTGTTATTTCTGACTACAGGTACCATCTGTGCATGCTTGAGCTACTGCCAAAGGAAAATGACCTTTGGTCCCTGAGTATCTTTCACCCTGCTGTCTTTATGTAGCTCTTTCAAGTAGTTGTAAGACATTTTGTATTTGATTATCATTTAAAGGCTGTTAATTTGGCCCCAGCTCTCTTTTCTGTGCTTTCTCAGTTCATAAAAGGCCAGGGAAATTTCTACGCCAACTAGGTTAGTGCACTGATTTCACCAGTCTGCCTTTGCAAGTCTCATTCTCTTTTATCTGTTTTCCTAGAAATTAATTTCCATGGCAGGGGAATTGGAACTGGATGATCTTCAGGTCCTTTCCAACCCAAACCATTCTATGATCCTATGATTCTACTTATATGCCAGTGAAGGTTATACTTTTCCACTGCAAATTATTAAGATATGAGGTAGTTACCTGGCAAAGAGACAAAGCAACACAGAAAGATGTCCATGCAGTGCTAGTGTCACTACTGATGCAGGCAGTATGTTTACATAAAGCAAGAGGGTGATCCACAGGTGAGAGGCTCTGTCTCTCGCTGTGTTCTTTCTTTTCTTCAGCTGTTGATTCCCACCAGTTTAGATAAATGGATTTATTTTTCCCTGCAGAGAAGCTGGTGAAGAGGAAAAGAGGTAATGAGGAACTCAGAGAAAATCCCAGATAAATACAATAAACCAGTAAATGTTATGTAGCCCTCTATATCTGATGAATACAGTTCTTCTGGTTTAATGAAGTCTCTCTTTTCTTGTTAACAGATGCCCTAAAATTGGCTGCAGCCATTCTGATGTAAAAGGATCAGATCTTATGCCAGATGAAGCGCTTAAAAGAGCGATTGACAGTCAGAATAAACAAAGCTGGTCAACGCTGGATGAGACACTTTGACATGTTGCTGCCACAAAGAAAATTTCTTATTAGAGGTCTTGTGAGATAAGCTGCTGATTGTAAGTAGGTTGTGTAACTGCCTGTTGTTGAAAGTGTTTCATTTATAGGCAAAGTTGAAGGTCTCAGCTGTAACTGAAAGCATTTTTTAAACTGCTGAATGTGAGAAGTTCCAGTTCAACTTGTTTGGTGTATTTTTAACCTTCCTGCAATTCTGAAAGCTTGCATTCAATAAATAAATCGTGTTTTGCAGCATGTAACCTGCCTTGTCAGTGTGCTAATTTTCCCAGCATATTAGAGATGCAGATCCTGCTGGTGTGTAATAGCGAGTGCGTTGCTCAGTATTGCAGATAATTCTGTTACTGCCTCTGTAACTGCTGGGAATACTCAGGGTTTACCCTGCTTGGGAGCATGTCTGTGTTTTAATACAAACCTCAGGGAACCTTAATAGAGGTTAATTTGCAGGAAGTGCTGCACATCTGTACCTTGCATGTGGACACACAAAATTACCACTCAGCTTTGAGGGTCTTGGCCTGGTTCTTACAGTTTTTGAACACTCTGCCCTAACTTAGGCTTTTCTTTTGAGATGCAGAAGCTTTGTGCATTTGGAAGTCCCAGAAGGCTTTGTCTTAATACTGTAGGTAAGGAGACTACAGTAATTTACAAATGTATTCTAAAAACTAATTTGTAGATTATACAAGTATATTGTAACCATGTACCTTGAATGGAAAAGCAGTTAATATCATTTTATATAAGCTCCAGATACCTATTTGGGCACAGATCCAAACAAGGATTTAAACTTGGGGACATTCCATATTTATTACCTCAATTGATCTGAACACATCTAGCAGATAAGGCACTACATCTATGAATTAGAAATAGCCAAAGGTAAAAGGAGCTGCTTTGCTGGTCAGATGGCAATTATCCCTTGGCATACGTGAAGCAGAAAAGACCGGTTTCATTGAGCTTTGGGATCCTGAGTGTTTTAGATGGTGTTTTCCTTGGTCATATTGCTGCATTTACAATCTCACATTGAGTGTAAAATGTAGCTGAGGTTCCTAAATGCTAAACATCTCACTCTGGGTTTCTGTGTGCTAACAGCTTTCCTTTCATAGACCGTTATTAACCCCAATTGCACATCAGAGTGCCAACCACTTCAAACTGAAATGGTTATTTTGTAATTGAAGAATATTAATCTGCAAGCTGATTTCATAGCTGGAAAAGGGAACTGAACCATTATTATTTGCACTGAGCTTTTGTGTTCAGAACACTTCATGGGAATTAGCTGGGTAATTTTCATAATGTGGCCTAACCCCAAAGGTCCATCTTTTCAAATCTCAGCAGTGATCATGAGTGCTTCTGTCTGAAATAGCTGAAGGAGACAGGGGGTGGTTGCGCAGTATGTACTTGTTTGCATTTTTATGTGTAAAAATCAGGTCCTTTTTGAGCTGGCTCAGGTCTCAAACCCATAGTATTTAAGACAGGTCACTAGTTTCAGTTAAGTACCGCAAGGGAGGATGTTAAATAAAGCATTTGTCAAAAAAAAAAAAAAAAGGGGACTAAGGGGGAATGTCCTGAACTGTTCATAGCTTTTCGTTCCACTTCTTAAGTTTGTGGTTAAATTTACTCCAGCACCATTTATAAGCAAAATACAGAAACTTGTGATGGTTAAACAATCTCTGCAGTTTCTGACAGAGGTGCATTAATGTCCTCATGGATCTAATTCAATCCCTGGTGGTAACCAGGTTTCCATGTGTACATACATTCTACATGGCCACAGCATCACACCTCGAAGTTAGTTTGTGTAGGTGCCTGGATGCTTGAGTGTGCCTTCCAACAACGCATAACAATATAAAGGCTAAGTTAGACACAGATTGATTTGTACTGACAGACTGGTGGCAGCAGGTTTGGTTTGCTTTCGGTGGTGTTTGTACCAGTATACCCGTAGATAGCTACAGTTCCTGACACAGTCATTACCCTCCTGTTCCCATGAGTAATGCTGTGAGGGAGATTGCTGTCTTGGTTACACCTTGTTGTTCTACGTAAAAGAGAAAGGTTTGACCCATATCAGTGCCGGTGGCCCTAGTTGTAGCTGCACTCAACGTGTCTCTGTGTTAGCTAATGCCCAGGTAATAAGGTGAACCGCCTGCTTAGGATGATGCAGCTGAGAGAGAAAACAAACAGATCTGAAGCAACACTTTAAGAGAACAAATAGTCAATCACTCACTTACTGCCACTCTAAGTGGAAAGGTATTTCTGAATGTTCACATTCCTGCCTCAATATACATGATCTTCCTTCTCTCCTTTGCTAGCCTGAGCCAGGCAGCATCAGTGAGTCAGAGCACCTGAACAGTGAGTTCCTAGATTCTGAAATCCAGTCTTCAGCTGAAAGAAATGATGTTTGGCAGCACTTACTTGCTTAGCTTTAATACCAGATCACAGATGAGGTGAACAGGCACGTGTATTTAAGTAGAGGTAGGTTTCTTTCTTTTATCATCAGATACATCTCTTTTCAAGTATGGCCACAGCCGTATTATGCAGAAAAAGATGAATACACATGCACTTCCACCAAGATTGCTGACAAGGGTACTTGAGTCCCCTCAAAATCAGTGCTGCACTGCATAGATTCAACTGAGAAAACTGTCTGTATTTGTTAAAATCAGTGAAGTTCCCCCCAAAATGTTGGCATTTCTGAATTTAAGCTGTATCATAACACCCAAAGAATGCTGGTTCAATAAATGATTACTGTTCTTTCTCTGGACCTCAAGTTTGAGCAATCCTGTTGGGTTTCCTTGGCTGTCTCTCTCTTGTTGATTTTCACGAGTAATTTCCTTCCGAAACAGAGATTACAGGCTTGGTCATCAGCATGAATTGCAGCTGACACTTTACCAGGTGGAAGGACAGACCAGCCTTGGCAACTGGGGAAGACTTCTGTGCCTGTCAACTCACCTGATGGAAGTTGTAAACCGCTTCTGACCCGCTGGGATGGCTGTGGTTCCTGGCAGCTCTTTGCTCTTCCATTTGCAAAGTCTGGGGTTCATGATGCAGCTGTGACCTCTTTGTTCCCATGTTCATGTCCCCCATGAGATCTGCTCTGGGTAGGAGTAGCTTAAAAGAGTTAAAGGGTAAAAATAAGTGTTTGTGATGAATAAGCTGATCTGTATGATTCACAGAAGTGGAAACTCAACAGCAGTTAAACCTTCCAATCTTAATCTGTTTTGCCTATAAGATACCATATGTAAACAGGCATATGTTAACAGTTCACAGGGTAATTTGTGTCTCAGTGTTTGACGTCAGAAAGTTTGCAACAAGATGTAAGGCAAGAAACTCAGAGGTGAGGTGGGTTTAACTTCCCTTAATGCAGCAAACCTCAGTGTGGCTGAGGAGGGTCTGTCACTGACACAGGTGAGAACCTGCCGCTGCCGGAGAGGCAGTTCCATGGAGTGATTGAAGAAATGCCTAATCAAACATTACAGCAAAGACAAGGCAGGAGGGATCCATGTGCAGCAGCTTTCAGTGGTACCCCGAGGCATGAGCCGTTAAGGCAGCTCTCTCACTGGAGCTGATTTTCCCCATGAGGCAGAATTCTCCATTTTACAACAGTCTCTGAAGTTTTCAAATCCATGGAGCCAGGACATGTACAGATCAGAACTAATCAGGCAGGCACCCCACGGAAGATTTAGCACACTTGTGCTAAAAGGAGCACACATTCCTCTGAATCAAGGACATACTCATCATTGCTGCTCCGGAGCTGTGATCTTATTCATTCTAGAAGAATCAAAAAGACCAGGCTAAGTCAGTGCTCCCTTGAGAAATACCCGGAGCAAAAGCAGGGGCTGCAGGAAGTGATACCGATGACTCAGCAGCCAAGGCCAACACACTGCCTTATTTTAGACAGTGTCCTCTTGGACATACATCATGTTTCCTCATGAGTGGCTGATGACAAAGGTCTTACCTGCCTGTGGTCACCAGTACCTCATGACGTTCTTCTTGAGAATAGCTCTACTGTTGTGGCCCAAACTAGCTTAGAATGCACTGTGTGATGTGGTAACTTCCACTGCCACTTCAAGTGAATGTTGATCTACATCTTCCCTAGGAATCTCCATGTATGGATCCTGAGGTGCTGTGTGCTCCATTAACTGCACATTTCTGTAGCAGATAGTGCTGTTATACAATGAAGAGGTTGCACTTAGGAAAGGGGCTTCCTGGAGTGGACAATGTTAAGAGTATCCCAAGAACAGGTCTTCCTTTCTTTTGCTATAGCCAAAGCCTTAAACTGATGGCTCCCCACAGATGAGTATTGGCTGCACATTTCAAGTCTTCCATAAAAAATGATTTATTTTCTGGTCATGAAGTCCTTACTGTTAATGCAGATTATTCCAACCATACAATGTGGTTCCAGCAACGCACAGAGCAGAACCCTATCTGGAGGTGCCAGCGACTCTAGGCTGCCAGCCAGTACCTGTAAGAAGCAAAACCATTAGATTGATTGTTAAGCAAAGTACAGTTCTGGGGTACGTGTACATCGCACAGTAGATACCCGTGTGTATGCACGAGTAATGTCAGTGACTTAACAGGACTGCAGCAATGTACAGAAAATAGAGTGTTTCTTCATTTCAGAATGGGCTGAGCAGAGAGCTGCCTCGCTTGCTTATTCTGATGTTAGCCCGGACCTGAAGACAGAGCTTGAAAGCACGCACATGAATTGAATTGCATGGGAAGCTTACCAAAGGAAGTGTTTGCTTGTAAACTCAGTATGAATAGGATCTTCTCTGACCGCAAGGGAAATGGAGAGACACTCATTCACTGTCCGCTTGTGCAATCGGCTTCTGAACTAAAAACAGGATTTGAGGTTTAAAACCTGAACCTTCACATGTCTTTCAGGCAACAGAAGAGTTGCTCTTTAGTCCACAAAGGAACAAAGTCAGGAGGTGCTGCTCGTGAGTCTCCTTGGATTTGATAACAACTGGCTTATCAAAAGGGAATTATTTAGAGTTCCTAGCAACAGCAACCCTCAGTGCGGCTTCTGTGCAGGCTTGAGGAGAGGCATCTGAGCACCATTACACTGCATTTCTTTTGATGTCACTATGTGCTTGTCATGTGTTTTATGTCTTCACAGGGAATCTGCTGCTGAGTTCCACAGTGTCTAAGGATGGTTGTGGCTTTATCACAGGTGCCATTCCTGCTATAAAAAACAGGAAAGTTCTTTATTACCTGGCCACACAACTCCTTTGAGCCCTGTCTCTGCAGGGTAATTCTGTACACTTGTAGATTACGGACAACCTCCTGGTTTTAGATTGCTGCCTTTCAGTCTAGCAGTAATTTAGGTTTAATTATATGGCTTGAGACAACTTGTAAAATAGAGATACTTCTTTTTCATCATTTGCCTGATGGTTTAACATTAGCTGCAGTATTTGTGTGTCATGGCTCTCTCATCCCGTAACTAAAATAATGACTTCTTAATTTCTCCCCATAGCAAGCAGCCAGTTTATTTATAAGTGGCCTAATCTAATAGAGATTTACGCTGTGCATCCCATGAGACATACTATCAAAGTTACCAGACCTGTCCCAAGCACTTGGGAAGTGGGGAGATGGTTACACAATTCTTATTGCCTCTGGCTGCTCTAGTTACAAAGATAAAGGGTCAGAGAACTGGAGCAGCGGAGTTAATTTTGTGAGCATCCAAGGAAAAGCAGCCAATCAGGTGAGGTAGGCACTGGCTGAGGGCGAGATGGGCAGATGCTTCAATACCATGTAACAAAAATCTCCTTGAATAAAACAACATGCCAGGAAAAGGGAATGGCTGTGCCTGACCCCCAGACAGTCTGGAGTCTTAAATCTTCATCTAGCAGGTGCAATAGTGCTGCTTCTATGTTTTAAACCAGAAAAAAAATATATGAAGAACAACATTCAGCTTGCCACAGCTCTGGCAAATCTGTGCAGGGATGTGCCCGATCTGTGATAACACATTACACAGGAGCTCCAGTCCCAGCTCCTCATGTAGTACCTGGGACTTAGGAAGACAGGAGCCAGTGAGCAGTCCTGCTTGCTGTGACCATTGTTTTCCAGGCAAGATCTACTCTTTGCAGTGATTTTGTCATGTCCTTTGTCTGGGAGCTCCTCGGACTTCCTGAGCATCAGGAAGGTGCCTGTTGCACTCTGTTCTCCTTTGCGAAGTATTGACCAGTACTGCCGAAGGCCATCCCTCCCCACCTCACTTCTACTGGACCCGTTGGAGCACCCTAGGCTGGGTGTTTGTTCCCCTGTGGCCTGCTGGTTCACAGCAGTTTGTTTCTCCATCTCTTGTGTAGCAAGACTCATCCACATGAGAGTCAATGTTTTATCCCGGCATTAGGTCTGTAAGTGTAACTGTGCACTGATTTGTGTTCCACAGTGATTTACAGCGCTATCCATAGGGGATGAGGAACACTGCCTTGGTTCATTTGGAAGGGCTCTAAAGCCATTCAGACTGAAATTCTCTGCAGGCACAGCTGAGAATTGCCATGCAAATATTCATCTCATCTATGCTAAGCAAGTAGCCCCCCCCCCCCCCCGAATTTGGGGGCAGAGATGGAATGATCAAGGCTTGTGCAGGGAATAGAAGGAAGACTCCCAAATAACTTGATTTCAGGAGGAAACTAATGCAGGAGATATCCTGGATGCTTAAAAGCCTGTGGTATGACCTACAACAAACAAGAATGAACCAGATGGCAAGTGTGGCAGCCCCATATTCTGCCAACATGTTCTAATACTGAAGTGCTGCAACACTTCTGATCCTCACATACCTCTCCCTGGAGTTCCTCCTGTTCTCTGCACTGGTTCATAACCAAACCGTGGTTTGGTTACATGCAAGCACTGGTGGACATGGGAAAGAGGGCAAGTTTCAACCCTTTTGAGAAGCACCATGCCCTGCAGATCAACAGACATCATGGCTGGCATCCCTTTGGTTTACATTTTGGGGATCAGCCCAAATTCAGGGAAACAGAAAAGCCAAAGTGGGACTCACTTCTCTGCTCTGCATCTGGTAATGAATTCTGTAGGGAAGGAAAGGAGTCTGGATGTAGACTGGAGCTTTCCCCAGACAGCAAAACCAAGCGTTATTAATTTGGTTAATAACTGCTAATATATGATTATTTATGACATTAACGCTCTGAGTACCTGAAAACGTGATGAGCATTTTAAGGAAGCAATGAAGGTTTCCTGCTGCCAAGAACTGCCCCATTTTGCAAAGACCCAACACGCGGGAGACTTAACCTTGGTTCATCCCAGCCCCATGCAGACACTGAAGTTTGGTCTGTACACCAGGATTCACCAGGGATTCTCTTTTCCTGGCCTTCAGGGACTGCATTCCCAGTCGGTGCTCCAGCTAGCAGGGACACCCACAGAGCATCAAAACTGGACACCAGTCCAGTGGGGACACCAGGAGCCTGTGGCAGCACTGTGGGGTGTGATGCTGTGGGTACCTCTGTGCTCTGCTCTCCTCTTACACCCCAGATAGTTTTGGGGGACAGGATGATGAGAATGGCTGTTTGCCCTTCTCAAGATGAGTGGGAGCTACCCCCATTTGGTAGCCTGAACCAAGCACCTGTGCTTGTGGCATAGGGCCAGCTCTGGGGTCCCCAACACAAGAAGGACATGGACCTGTTGAAGTGAGTCCAGAGGAGGCCATGAAGATGATCAGAGGGGCTGGAGCACAGGCTGACAGAGTTGGTCTTGTTCAGCCTGGAGAAGAGAAGGCTCCGTGCAACACCTTGTTGTCGCCTTCCAGTACCTAAAGGGGCCTACAAGAAAGCTGGAGAGGGGCTTTTGACAAGGGCCTGTAATGACAGGACAAGAGGAGATGGCGTTAAACTGGAAGAAGACCAATTAGATATTTGGAAGAAGCTCTTCCCTGTGAGGGTGCTGAGGCACTGGCACAGGCTGCCCAGAGAAGCTGTGGCTGCCCCATCCCTGGCAGTGTTCAAGGCCAGGTTGGATGGGGCTTGGAACAACCTGCTCTAGTGGAAGGTGTCCCTGTCTGTGGCAGTGGTTGGAACTGGATGATCTCTAACACTCTTCCAACCCAAACCATTCCATGACTCTATGAGGTGGCCAGCTGTGGATTCTAAGAGGCTTCAAATGGGTGGGAGTCTGGCGAGGTGAAGGACACAGCTTCCAACAACGTGTGCAAAAGGATCCGCAGTACAGCTCTTCTCCTCCATGGGGACAGTGAGGTGGCACAGGGGCTGAGAGAGGTGGGTCTTTGGGAGGGTGAGGACCAAAGGCAAGCAACTTACCTCAGGTGCACCACTTGGTGTTCACACTGCTGCTCACACTGCATCTCAGCCTGAGAGCACCACTGAGGAGATGCTGTTATACGCTAATCATGCCTGTGAGCATTTTTATGTAAGTCCATCACTATTTTGATGTGTCTGCACCCTTCCCTTGTCCCCAAAAGCACTGACACCCTCACCTCGTGCTATCCCAGGCAAGGGAAGCAGCCCACACATGCAGCATCCTACAGCTCAGCTCACCCAGCAGCAGCATCCCAGTCATAAGACTTCCAGGAAGGGAAAAGTAAAACAAAGGTCTGATGGATGCTCGAGTGTGTTTTACCCATGAGAGGAATGAAACAGCGTGCTGTGAGAGCTGTGGTGAGCGGCTCAGAAACGATCTGCAGGCATTAATGGAATTGAATTTCTGGGAAATGGAAAGGAAAATGCCGGCCCTGGGATATCCCTTTATGGCATATGCATTTCATGTTTAAATGCATTAATGGGACTGCTATGCTATGAGTCATCCTGAACAGGAGTTTCATGTGTTTCTTAAAATACACTGGAAGTAGCTGAAGGCATGCACGGGTTTGCGGTGCAGTTATCTGTCAGGAATCTGAGCAAATACCTGCACGCACAGCATCACAGCTCCAGAGCTGGGGCACCCGAATGGGGCCCTTCTGCTGCTTAAACAGACCTGGGAAGCGAAACGGGAGAGGAACTGATCCTGCAGAGTAACAAGGCGCAGGTTCCCAGTGTCATTAGGGAAGCCTCAGCACTGATTTGCATATATGTAAACAGCAAAGCTGGAGAGTTGCTTTCTGAAGCACTCTTGTCAACACGGGAGCTGTCTGCAGCTTTTCCAGGGATCATTAGTTGTCTGCTTTTCTCTCATTTTTCTTCTGTTTACTCACAGCCCTGGCTGCAAATCTGTTTACTGTTCCTTTAAACCCACACGTTCGGGGCTGGACTGTCTGCTCCTCACCGGTCACTTCAGCAGCGGGCTGCTGCTTGCTCTCCATGCTATTCCTTTTTCGGAGAGTCGATAGTTTTAACATGGGAAACACCCAATGCCAAGTGGTTCTGATGGTGCACGTTAAGTTGGTGCTCATGGTTAACGCACAGCAGCCTCATTGTGCAAACCTTGGGATGAATGATGGTTATTTAGTGATTAGTGAAAAGCAAGGATTGGGGCTGGGGAGAAGCCACAGTGCATGTATACAGGAGAAGCTGCTGGCACTGAACTGGGCTCGCTTTCTCTCCGCATTCACCCTGGCTTCACTCTTTGTTTTCACACATCGCACGAGGCGATGCTGTCTCGAAAGCACTACAGCAGCATTTGGAATTTCTGGCACCGCTTCCCAGCGGCGCACGCTGGCCCTGGATAAACCCGCTGCTGCCATGTCCAGGGCCGCCTCTGCAGGAGAAACAAATGCTCATCCTTCCGTGCCGGTGACTTTATTGCTGCTTAGCTTCGCTAGGAAACCCTCCCTGCATTGGGCTCATGAAGCCTCTCTTCGGGCTTACAAGTGGGCAGTGGAAGGTTGAGGAGTTCGGCAGCACGCTGAGCTTGTGAGGGGCGAACTCCAAAAGTGAGGGGTGATCCCCAAAGCGAGGTGCGCCCCCAGGCTCTGCCATCCTCAGCAGCCTGACTCGGACACACGATGTCCTTGCTCAGGACCGGCCGCAGGACCTCAGCAGGGTGACCCCACCGCCCCGCCCGGCTGCGTGTCCCGCCGCAGCCGGGGTTGCGGCGGGCGGGCGGAGCGGGGCGGGCGTGCCCGCGGCTCCCTCCTCCCCTTTCCCCGTGCGTCAGCCCCGGGAGGAGGAACCAGGGCGCTTTTTTCCCCCCTTTTTTTTTTTAAAGCCTCCGAGCCCCGGAGCGCGGAGTCGGCTGCCGATGGTGGGCACGGCCCGACGTGTCTGCGCCGAGAGCGAAGGGATGCGCGCAGCGCGCACCGCCCGCCTCTAGCTCCGCGCCCGCGCCCGCGCCCCCCCATGAGCCGCCCCGCGTCCCTGCTGCCGGCCGCCCGCTGCCGCAGCGCCCCGGCCAAGCGGCTCCAGCCGCTCCACGACGGCCCCGCCGAGGAGGCGCCGGCCGCCAAGTGCCCTCGTCTCGCCGACTGCGGCCCCCCGGACTGCCTGAGCGCGCCCGGCTCCCCCTGCTCCCCTGCGTCCCCCGGCGGCGGCGGGGCCCCGGGACCCAGCCTGATCGCCTCGTACCTGCTGCTGCCGCTGGCCGAGCGGGAGCAGGTGTCCAGGGCGCTGAGCGTCAGCTCCGGGCGGGAGCTGCGCTGCAAGGTGAGCTCCGCGGGCGCGGGGGGCTGGTGGGGGTCGGGACCGTCCCGGTCCGTCTGAGCACCGCGGGACCGCTCTGCCCGGGGGGAGCCGCGCAAAACATCGTCCCGCTGCTCCCCGGGTGGAAGTGCCCAGCCTGCCGCCCTGGGGAGTCATTTACAGGCGCCGGGAGTAAGCGCTAAGTCCGGTTACCTCGGAGCACCTTCCCCAGGAGGCTCTGGGGACGGCGCTTCGTTTCACTGGGGGTTTTTACTCTCTTTTCGATGCAAAACGAGCAGGAAGGGTCTCGGTAACCGCTTTGAACGGCGCTCCAGCCGAGCCCTGGCTCTCCTCCAGCTCCCTCGTCATTGTTTGGGGAGAGTTGCTACGCGAGCGGCTGCTTTCAACGCCCTTGAGAACGAATTTTGCTTTAATTTCCTCTTTACAGGTGTTCCCCCTCAAACACTACCAGGACAAGATCCGGCCGTACATTCAGCTGCCGTCACACAGAAACATCACCGGCGTCGTCGAAGTCATCCTCGGGGACACCAAGGCCTATGTGTTCTTTGAAAAGGACTTTGGGGACATGCACTCCTATGTGAGGAGCTGCAAGAGGCTGAGGGAAGAGGAGGCTGCCCGGCTGTTCAAGCAGATCGTCTCGGCTGTAGCTCACTGCCACCAGTCGGCCATCGTACTCGGTGACCTCAAGCTCAGGAAATTTGTCTTCTCCAACGAAGAAAGGTGAGTGGTTGTCAGCAGCCGGCCGGGGGGGGAGTGGGGAGGGAGGAAGGTCACATCCAGAGATGCACAAGGCAGTGGGAACGGCTGCTGTGTCAGCTGGGCATCACTTTGCAGGCGATCCGGGTAGGTCCCCTCACGTGTGTGTAGTAGGTCCCGGATCTAACCGGTACACACCGACTCCTGGTTAGATCGGAGTTGATGAAAGGGAGAAAGCTGGCCAGGAGCTTCCTCTCATTCAGCAGAAGTTCAGTGGAACCCGCTGGTAGACAAAGGGACCATAGTTCGGGTGCTCGTTAGTGCCAGAAGATGTCATGTGTGCCCCTCGGTCAGTGTGAAGTGAATCAAAGGCAGAGGAGGGAGGCTGAGGCACTGTGCTGGGGAGGGGGAACATCCTGGCTCTGGGAGCAGGATGGAGCCTCTGGTCCTTCCTTGGGAAAGCCGTGGTGCTCCGGAGAGGTCTCCTTCCTGGAATCCCCTCATCAGAGTCATGCTGCTCACCAAAGACATGCTGTGTCCTTCGAGGCTTTTATCCCTCCTCACTACTGGGGGCAGTGCTGTCTGTGCCCCTGTCCCATGGATGTGAGCATGCACAGGAGGGAAGGTGTGACAGTGTCCAGTATTGGTTTGGGAATCCTGCACTTGGGTAAAACTTAGCCTAAAGCCTAGGTTTATAGAGAGGAGACCCAGAACCCGGCTGTTACATTTAGGTTAGGGAAGGAATTCAGTATTTCCCTGGAGTGCTTGCTGCGTTTATAGTGCCTCACCGCATGTGGCAGAGCCAGAAATACACTTTTAATCAGCAAAACTGACTCTGACTAGTTGCTTATCATAGAATAGTGAGGGTTGGAAAGGACGTTAAGATTATCTTGTGGAAAGCTAAAAAAAGAAGTAAAAGCTGTAGTGGAGTTGTGCTTAATCTGATGAGCCCGGAGGTGATGCTGCTGAAGCAGAAGAAAATGCATTTTCACCTTGTTTAACCGGGCTGCGGCTGTTCAGGGTACCATTAACAAACGTGATAGGAAAACGAAGCAGCGCTGCCCCTCTTGCACAGAAACAGCCCCATGTTGACACGCACAGAGAGCAATTCCTTTGAAGGAAACTATTGCAGCTTTTCCCGCCCATGAGGAGGTGAAACGTCTGCTGAAATGTTACATTGCACACACACTGGTCCCATGTGGAAATAGCGCGTTGCACAGGCGGGTGTCATGTGCGCGGCGTTTGGCAAGAAGAGGGTTAAGCAATGGCAGGCGGGTCCGGCGCTGGGCACAGGTGCAGTTTCAGGGCTTCCCGCAGCCAATCCCGGGCCCACGGTTCCCGTTGAGTCATATTTTCCGTTCGCAGAACCAATGGGTATCTGGCGAGGTCAGGCTGAGGACAGGCTGCAGCCAGCGCCTGCCAGCGCGAGGGGTGGCTGCTTTGCTGATGTGGAGCATCCCTTTCCCACACCAGTCGGGGTTAGAGCCACCTCCAGCTGGGAGGGGGGGGGTGCGTGGTACCCTGGGGAAAGGCACAGAGAGTAAAGGACCAAATCAAAGCTAAAACAGAACCCTCAGGAGAGGCGATGATCCCGCAAGCAGGGAAGGGAGCTGGGATTCACAGCTTGCAAAGTCACGCAGCTGGATGCTGTTTGCTCAAAGTCTGAACCACAAATAGCAGCACTGTACCCAGTTAAACCCCTGCAGTCACAGTGCAAGCCGTGTAGATAGAAGGTGACTTTGCTGGTGTTCCTCGAGAGCCCTCTGTGTTGTTAAAGCCTCCAGTACATGAAATAATCAGGCGTCGCTGTGCACCTACTCGGCGCACGTAGCTTGCTTCCATTACATGGGTCCAGGAGTCCAGGCAGCTTCTCTGCTGCACATTAAACAGTGTTTCCTCTCCTTTTCATTATGCCAATGCAAGAAGGGGGGGTTACAGGTTGTTGTGGCTCCCTTGTGCCTGGGTGATGCTATTTCTAACCCTCAGCTTCCTCTCCTGCCCTCCCTAGGACTCAGCTGCGGCTGGAGAGCCTGGAAGACACACACATCATCAAAGGCGAAGACGATGCGCTCTCAGACAAGCACGGCTGCCCGGCATACGTCAGCCCTGAGATCCTAAACACCACGGGGACTTACTCTGGGAAATCGGCCGACGTGTGGAGTTTGGGAGTGATGCTCTATACCCTGCTGGTGGGACGCTATCCCTTCCATGACTCGGACCCTAGCACTCTGTTTTCCAAAATCCGGCGTGGACAGTTCTGTATTCCTGACCACGTCTCCCCCAAAGCCCGATGCCTCATCCGCAGCCTCCTGAGGCGGGAGCCCTCAGAAAGACTCACTGCTGCGGAGATTCTGCTTCACCCTTGGTTCGAGGCAGTCTTGGAGCCTGGATATACAGACCAGGAGACGGGAACTTCGGATCAGATTGTTCCCGAATACCACGGAGACAGTGACGATATTAGTTCCTTCTTCTGCTAACCACAAAATCTCACAAACCTCAGCGGTTCCCACCTCCGGCATCTTCATAGGGTTTCATTTTTCCACGTTTGCAAACGCATCTTAAAGTGCCAGTATGGTCAGAGAAGTGACCTTGTTTCAGACAAATGCCGACCCGTAGGTCTCCGCTCCCTGAATGCACTCAGTTTCATTCTCTTGCTCTGCTGGTAGGTCGGTCCCGCCAGCCCTGGAGGACCATGCAGCTTTGTGAGAGCCCCTTGGCTTTTCTCCTGCCTCCCGCATCCTCCACCGGTGTAACTGGTTGCATCCTGGCTGCAGAGTCTTACGGCTGGCGAGGGGTGAGACAGAAAGGCAGCCCCCTTCTGCTTTCCCATGGGGGTGCAGAGCCCCGGCCGCGATGTGTAGGGGTGGGAGGCACGAGGAGCACCTCTAACCGAGTGAATCTGACACAAGTGGTAGGAAGGGGAATCGGCTCGGCCGCACCAAGTTGCAAAGTAGCTTTCTGACTGTAAGAGCACTTTAGCGAGGGGAGGAAGTCTTCACCTGACACAGTCAGCTGCCTGCTGGCTGCTGCTCCTGCAGCTCATCTTTCTTTCAGAGGCATGAAGCTCCTAGATCCACCTGTAAGACAAACCGCTGCTGTGGCTCTTTCTGAAGCAGAAACAAGTGGATCACCCAGCTGGATCCCCTCTGATTCCATTCGCTGACCGGGAAAGCATTTTAAATAGACTTAAGCTTTGCGTTACCATGGTGTAGCCTATACAACTTTATGCCCCCTGCGAGCTTGTCAAGTAGCAGGTCTCGTTAGCTCCGAGTGCCAAAACATATCCGTTTACCGACCCGTAACACTATCGGCTGGGGCGCCTTCCCTTGGAAAACGATGAGGGGTATCTTGTACAGTACCTATAAACACGTCATGTTTTCCTACAGGCTCAACTCTTAAAAACATCACATTCTCTCTCCTCTTTCCCTCCTCCATCCCCCGAAAAGTTAGTCTTAAGAGTAAAATCTCCATATGCCCTTAGTTGATTATTCAGGTATGTTGTTTGCCCCCAGCTACAGGGGTGGTTTTCCCCTTAAATTTCGTTTTATTTGTTTTGCATGATTATTCATAGTCTTTCCAATGTGCGTGGATAATGAATATATCTCAATCGTTAGCTTCCTGGGTTGGGGGTCAGTAAAGCTTAGTCCTGCCGAAGATTTCTGCTTCGTTTCACATTCGTGTCCAGTGGCTTATGCAAAGAGGTGTCCGTTCGCCTTAGGCGAAAGCACGGCTTCGGGAATGGCCGTGAGGTGGGTAACGCATGCCCCTGACGTGACACAGGTCGAGTGAAGTCATTTTTAGGGTTAACCCCTGGCAAGCTGCAGTCCCACCACGCGTTGCGAGAATACCATGTATACCTCATGGACTGTGTACTTTGTACATACCTTACTGTTTGGGGGGGTTTGTTTTCTTGTTCTGTTGTACTTTGTTTGTCCTAATAAGAGGTGTCGAAGAGCAATTTAATGTGAATTATTGTTGGCAATACTAACTTGACAGAATCATGAGCATTAAGAGCAGGGCGCTACAGCTCTCCGTTGCACTAAACCTCTCATGATTGCTTGACATTTGTATCTGTGATACAGTTTAACCCTTCTATGAAAAACAGTACCTTTGTATATATTGGTAGAAAGTTCTGCCAGAAAAGCTAAAAACACTATGTCCAACTTGTAAATATGTATATGTATGTGGAAACCTGGATGATAAAGTCTGACTTGTAGAGAGTTTTAATAAACTTGGTTTCATAAGGTTTGTCACCATTTCTTGCGGTGTCTCAAGGGGAACACAGCCTGAGTATGCCTGGTTCAATCTGAAAAGATGGGGATCTGCTCATCTGCGGTCTCTGTGCATGCTCCATCGTGCCTGAGCTACCAGGGTCTGCCTGGGGTTGTGTCCCCAGAGGGATGAATGGGGATGGGGGATGGCTTCTGCCTCTTGTGGGGTGGAAAGGGCTTGAGATACCCCTAGAGCTATGTGAAATGGGGTATCCTATTCATCCGATAAACAAGAGGGAGAGGAGTTACAGCTCTGCCTCTGAACTTTAGAAACCCTATTGCCTTTCAGCACATGCATTCACTTCCATCTGCACCCCGTGAGCAGAAAATGCTGTGGCACTGCACAGCTGTCATCCTGCACCTGTGTGAGAGGCAATGTGATGCTCAAGACAGTGGAAAATCAGATCTCAGGTGACTAAAAGTGAGCAGCCAGAAGCAGAGGCAGCAGTCGAGGGCACTGGCTTTAACGGGGAGCTGGAGCCAGTGGCAGGGTCTTGATCCCACTGCTGGGAGGCAGAGCCGAGGGCACCCGGTGCTCCAGTTAAAAATGGAGAGAAAGATTATTAGAGCTGCTTTTCTTTGTGGTGAGAAGAGAGGGGTATAAATAGCAGCAGTATCAAGGTTAGAGAATGCGCTTTCCTGAAAGAGATCAAGCCACCCTTGCAATCCACCCGGAGCGGTGAGATCATCGCTCACAAGTAGAGAGGAGGAGGAAGAGAGTCTTGATTTTTATTTATACTTTGCCTCATGTTTAACTTTGTCCTTTTGCTTGAAATCTGTTCACAGAGCAACTGCTTCCAGGCAGCTCTTTGAGCAGGAGCAACTTCAGAAAGGATTTTGCTTTTAGACGGGGAGTGGAAAGAGGAGGAATAGGGACCTGGTTGGTGCTAAAGTGAAGTGCACTGACTTTAACCAGGCACCTTGACTCCCACTGCAAGAAACCAGCGATCTGTGCAGTAAGCATATTTTCTTAGCACTTGCTGAGTGAATGTCAGGCACTGAAATATCTCAAGTTACTTTACTGATGTTATTCTTGCAAGACTTGTAAACATACATGCGCCACATAGCCTGACTGATTGAATTACCCCCTGCCCTATGATGCTTTCAGGCTTGGAGAGAAGCCCTGGTGCACCCTTTTAAAACAACTGCAGAACGTTTGTGTTTTGGTGAAACCTTGAGAACTTTCAAAACACCTTTTTTTTCACCCCTTGCATTAAGTCACCCTCAGTAGGTGAATGTGTAGGCCATCCCGTGACTTTATTTCACAGGAGCTACGCTGCAGAGCAATTAAAATAAATGCCAAATTGTAGTAACATCTGCAAACAGCCTCTGTGTTGCTTTAGGGATTATAATGCAACATCCGTTTGTACAGCAGAATAAATTGCTATTGCTTCGTTACCCCATCGTTTGTATTATTGTATACAAAGTTTCAGAGCATGTTGAAAGCACCAGCATATTAAGTGATTAAACTTTGATGGTGGGTGTGAGAACTTTGATTTATGCAATGCATACGTTTCTTTTTGAGAGAGTCATAATTTGGCTATTTTTAAATGGCCCTTTTGGATGGGGAGTGTAGGCATCTCTTATGTATTTCTCAGACCTGGTCACTATTTTCATCTTGAAGTTGCAAGGTGTTGCTGGCCTCTCTGAATAGTGCTGGGAGCCTTCATTCCTCTGTTTGCTGCTCAAAATGCAAGTTGAGGATTTTCACTACATCCTCGGATCCATCCTAAACTGGCATCAAACCACCTCCCAGTCAGGATTGATCCTGCATCCCAAGTACGTATTTTTATCAGCTCTCGATACTCTGGCTGCATTTTAGGCATCGGTTCAATAATTTTCTTTTGAAGTAGCACAGCAGAATTTATAAACCAGCTTCATCCTAAAGCGCCAGGTAAAACAGCCAGCTCAGCAAGCTCAGCTTTAAGGTCAGCATCTCTTTGCCAAGCAGGTGATACTGCTGAGGTTATTTGCAGTTAATTAAGAAGGATTGGTAGAGGTTCAGTTCTACTTATGATACCCCCCCCCCCCCCGCCTCTGATTTTAGAACACCTTCAAGTCAGTCAAAGGCACTTCTGCACCCAGGTATTATTTATGAAAGAAAGGGGGAAAAGAGCAATTTTTTATACAAATGTAGAAGAACGGAGATTCACTGCACTTGGCTGGATCACAAAGCCAGCACAATGCTCTGCTCTAGCTCTGCTTTAATGCACTGAGGGTAGGCTTGAGGGGTAACTTCAAAACCACATTTTGTTCAATCAGTGCTGAGTGCATTCTGTCAGGCAAATCTCTGCAGATTATCTCTTTATATAAAAGCGGATTTTTTTCTCACTTTTTTCATGCTTTTGCATTCTGTCAGGGAGAAACCCCAGCGTTTAGCATTATGGCACTGCACAGATTTAGCAGCACAAAGAAATCTCCTATGCAAATGCCTCTTACATGTATAACGTTTTCCTATCGAGCGCTGAGAAGAATAGCTTGACACATAACCACGGTCTGAATTAATGGCTTTGCTAAATGCAACATCTCTCAGAACTATTGTTGGTAAAAGTACCGTGAAATTTGCAACAGTTCTTACCACCATTCCTCCATAACTTGCAAAATCCTGTTCTCCAAGTGAAACCCAGAGTTCAGATTTCAGCCAGGATCAATTTTTGTTGCAGCAAAACGACAAATCCTTCAGGATATGAGTTCACAGCAGGAACATTTTCTTTTATATATTTTTTATGGAGCCAGCTATTTAGAAAATGCCTTCAAGAAAACTCATTAGTTTTCATTGCCCTGTATGTATTTATTTACAGTATTTAACCAGCTAAACAAGCTAATGTGCAGCACTTCATTTCCTAATTTGGCTTTGAAGCCGGAGCAGCCGAAGTATCAATTACATTCTGTCAAATGCAAACATTAACATAACTGTATGAAGCAATCATGTTTCTAACAACAGCAAGCACTGCCCAGAGGACCAAAATAAATAAAATTCATAGAGCAAGAGGTAACGCTTTTCTTTACGGCAGGATTAGGGCTGGTGAGCACCCGTATGCTTTCCTCTCAAGGGATGTTTGTCTCGCCCGGCTGCGGAGGCAGCTCCGGTGCTGAAATGCAGGTGATTAATACGGCACTTGCTCACCAAGGGCACGGTCTCATCACAGCGGGTGTGGATTTCTGCATGCAACTCCCACTGTTATTAATGGTTAATTAACGTGTAATTTGCAGAAAGAGATGAAACCCGGACCTCGGTGGTGCGCTGTGAGCACACTCGCAGGCTTATCGTTCGAAGAAGTATCAGGGTGACACGGAGGGTGGATGACAGAAAATAAGTGCAGCATGAATCAGCTGCCCCGTGTTTATCATACGGGGCTGTTGTGGGAAAAACATTCACCTCCACCGACTGCTGTCTGCTGCCAGCAACAAAAGTCGAGTTTGATAAATTATTAGTGGAGATGTTCTCAGTGGCTTTGCTTAGATTTTATTCCTCTTGCGCAAATTGCAGATTAGGAAAGGATTAAGTAACAACAGTGTGGCTAAAGTATTACACATCACGCTGGCGATTAGCCAAAGAATGTAGCATGCAAAAGCTGACATTGCCTAAGAAATCAAATATAGCTCTGGTCACCACAGAGAATGACTCTTCTCCACCACCTGAGGTAGTTGCTCAGTTTCTCCTATGTCACCCAGTGTCTTGCACCAGCAAATGGTTCATTGCAGGGCTTTTTTTCTTTCCTTTTCATTTTTTCCTTTTCTGAACTTCCAGGTAGTGACAAAGTCATAAACATTGAGATGAATCACAGAAACCATCAATGTAATTGAGTGGAAAGCCGTTGTTGGGCCTTGTGATAACATCCCCATCAAGTCTCGACTTGTCAGGGTTGTATTCTCGCTCAGGTTCAAATCCTGTGAGTTTTCCTTGCCCTGCTAGCAACCGGGGGCAAAGTCTCAGCATAACTTGTACAAAAGGCTTTGCAAGACTCTCATGGCCAATGACAATGACTTTGCAGATGGGATGTCTGGTGTGAGTAAGGGTTTCCTCTGGTGAGTAAAGGCAGCAGAATACGGCTCACAAAGTGAGCCAGCAGCCTTCATTGCAAGGCGGGGGGGGCAGCCCTGCTGGTAGTTCCTCTAACTCCTCAAACACCAGGAAAAAGGTAAAACCCACCCTGGTGCTTGTATGATATCGTTGGCTGACAAGTATGGGGGTGAACCCTCTCCTTCCTACCTTCATGGCAGTGCCCAAATTGTCTGGATTTGGGGGAAGACAGGAAGTTTTGGGGCCAACAGGTCTACCCAGCTCCAGGAGAAGCCCCAGCAGATGCCTACAGGAGTGCATGGGAGCATGTCCAGCTCCCCCTGTGATGTCGCCCCTGCAGCACAGAGACACATTACTTAAAAGGGGCCTACAGAAAAGATGAGGAGGGAGCCTTTATCAGGGACTGTAGTGATAGGATGAGGGGTAATGGTTTTAAACTGAAAGGGTATAGATTTAGATTAGGTATAAGGAAGAAGTTCTTTACTGTGAGGGTGCTGAGGCACTGGCACAGGTTGCCCAGAGAAGCTGTGGCTGCTCCATCCCTGGCTGTGTTCAAGGCCAGACTGGATGGGGCTTGGAGCAACCTGGTCTAGTGGAAGGTGTCCCTGCCCGTGGCAGGGGGTTCAACCTAGATGATCTTAAAGTTCTCTTCCCACCCAAACCATTCTATGATTCTGTGACATCATGGCCCACTGATGCCCACTCTGGTGTTTAACTGTTCTCTGAGGATCTTCTTATCAAACAGTTCCTGGGCTGCCTTTGGCCCTATCTCCCTTTTGGGGTCTCTAAATCCTGCGGCAATGATTTCCAGAGCAGAGCTTGGTGCTGTTCCTTGCTTGGAAAGGGGATATGCACCAAAACACAAGGATATGACTGGAACCACTGAAAAGCACTGACTGGTCCAGTTTTGGGGGTCTTTGTGCTGCTCTCGCTTGCAATGGGGCGATGC